TTAACATTGAAATTATGAACCAAATAAAATCCATGCCCAGTAGAAAATACAGAATATTTGAAACACAGAAAGCACAAAATGGGATGCAATGCAGGGACAATCAGAGTCATCACAGACCAATCAAATCAACAGGGTCAGAGTCAGCACAGACCAATCAAATCAACACAGTCAGAGTCATCACAGACCAATCAAATCAACAGGGTCAGAGTCAGCACACACCAATCAAATCAACAGGGTCAGAGTCATCACAGACCAATCAAATCAACAAGGGTCAGAATCTTCACAGACCAATCAAATCAACAGGGTCAGAGTCAGCACAGACCAATCAAATCAACACGGTCAGAGTCATCACAGACCAGTCAAATCAACAGGGTCAGAGTCAGCACACACCAATCAAATCAACAGGGTCAGAGTCAGCACACACCAATCAAATCAACAAGGGTCAGAATCTTCACAGACCAATCAAATCAACCAGGGTCAGAGTCATTACAGACCAATCAAATTAACACAGTCAGAGTCATCACAGACCAGTCAAATCAACAGGGTCAAAGTCATCACACACCAACCAAATCAACAGGGTCCGAGTTATCATAGACCAATCAAATCAACAGGGGGAGGGGCCCTCCTGGGCTGGATTTTAAGAGAAATTCCTAAAACCAGTTTCTATTAAAGGACTGAAAGGAATGGGGGTGGGGGGAACATATACTAACTGGGCTTCTCAAAACGATTATAGGAACAACTCCACATGTAAATGAAAAACGCATGAACTTACATATGTATGTCCTTCAGACACATGAAGCATGAAGAAAATGATAATGAGAAACTGGCACAGCTACAGTCACAGTTGCAGATTTCAACGTATTTCTCTCACTTTTTTAATCAAACATGTGAAAATAAGGCAATTTGAACACGATTTGTTAGGTTGAACCAATGGACATTCCTGTTGACATACATTCAACACGTTTAACAACACACCTTCTTACATTTGCATGGACAGTCTCTGAAACACAAACTTACTGTGGAACACCTCCAGCAGGTTTCAGAGGCTGTAAATCACATGGCAAGAGACTGTCCCTCTGTTTCCCTTGAAGCCACCTGGAAATTTCAAAATGAGAGCTAGCTTCTGCTTTGAAGTTAGCAGTGCAGCTAGCTGCCACAATCCAGGCCCCTGAAGCTCCTTCACCTGGAACATCTAATGGAAAGGAATTCATCCAAGTTTCTCAATAAATAATAGCGCAATCCAAGTTCCACAGAACACTTGCTAGAAACATAAGCCAAAAATTAAAACCCAGTAATGAAGAGACTGCCCCCAATGAACTCAGTCATGTAGAAACCCAGAAGTATATCTAAATAAATAAGGTGAGTTGAGGAAAAGAGAATACGAGAAAATATATAGAGTTGAATAACAAAACTAGGTAGATGGATGCGGCTGGCAGACGAGATTGGACAGGGCAGATGACTCACGTCAGACTGGCTCACGGCACCTTAGGTACAGCTGGGCCGACAGTGCCTGGTCACCACAGTGTGATCACCTTCACCATCACCCAGGTTTCTGTATTCACTGTTGTAGGGGCTGTGCCAGCCCATCTCCTGAAAGTCACCTCAATCTCAATGACCCTCTGCTTCACCAATCACGATCTCCTTCACCAGGGAAAGAGCCTCCCTGATGAAATGTCCAGAGCAAGAAAGTCGAATGACGTTCAGCTGTGATGTGTGAGCTTTTCCCTGACTGCTCCTCAGAGGTGGATCAACAGGCCTGTCTTCCTGTCTACAAGGAAGGATCCTGATGGCATCTGTAATGCCAGTGTTCTCGCTTCAGCACCACAGCAACACAGAAGCCACAACAACGTGGCACCCTGATGGATGGGTTACGGGTGACAGACCACACACCAGCACTAGCGAGGGGAGGGAGGCAGCAGAGGGGAACCCCCAGGTTTCTATGTATGCAACTCGATGGCAGCTAAAAACAAATGGTCAGAAATGCTTCAAAATGAGCAAAGTCCAAATACACATGAGTAAAAGCCAAAGAGCACAGGAGCATGTGCAATCTGATGTCTCGAATGCGCAGCCTCAGGGCAAGGCAGCGGGCATACATCCCAATTCAGGTGCCACTGGCTGGCCCCTCTCCCAGTGGCCCTGAGCACGACAGGATGCAGCCTGGCCGGATCAATTCAGATGTGTCCAACACACTGGCTGGCCCCTCTCGCAGTGGCCCTGGGCGCGACAGTACACAGCCCAGCCTGATCTATTCTGGTGCCATGGCTGATGGCCAAATATCACGGCTGGCCCCTCTCACAGTGGCCCTGGATGTGACAGTGCACAGCCCCACCAGGCCCTGTGGCATCCTTGCATGGTCTGCTGGGATTAAGCCCACTGATGCTGTTACCTTGTCAATCCACTTACCTGAGGGCCTTCTTCTGCAGGCCCTCTACTTCTCAAAGCACAATAACATTTTATAAGAACAGAACCCTCTTAGTAATATGCCAAATAATGTGAGAGAAATTCTCACTATATTCTAAGAAGCACTTCAGTTCATCCAAGACAGATTTGTTTGTACTTTTGGCTGGCCATGGGATAGTCAATATTTTTTGCCAAGACAATTAAAAGGCATAAATTCTTCTTCGGTCTTCCTTATTCACTGTCTAATTTTCACACAGATATCCAATTCAGTTGGCGTTATTAAGAAAGGAGAAGACATTGAACGGGATACAAGGAAGCACTGCTTTATTCGTATCACTAGGAACTTCATTTGTTTTCAAGAAAAGGCGGCACTGGCGAGAATTACTTCAGACTGGACACTGGAAATCTTCAATGTGATATGCTTAATTATAAAAAGTGGTTTAAACTTTTACATCATTTCCAGTTTTTCAACACAAATTAAGCATTTGTCCTACATATTTCTTCAGGACTGCCAAGAAAACAAATAGCTTTGTCTTGGAGAGGGTAAAACCAAGTTTCTCCTTGGAGGCTAGAATTTTTAAGCTCTGTCTCATGTACTCTGGGCGTGTGGCCAGGAGGGACCAGTCCTTGGAGAAGGACATCATGCTTGGGAGGATGGAGGAACAACGCAGGAGAGGAAGACCCCAGATAAGATGGATTTATTCAGTAACTGGGGCAATGGAGGTTGGTGAGACTGGCTCAGGACAGGGCAGGGTTCAGAACTGCTGCAGTGTACACAGGGTGGCTAGGGGTCGCAGTCAACTCGAGAGCACATAACAGCCACCACCGTGTGTGTTCGGGGTTAGATATTTACACCACAGAATGGGAAATATCACATCCACAGATGGAAAAGGAGCACTCAGGCAGTGGCCAGAGAACATCTGCAGACAAGACACCTGCAGGACAGCCTGCCTGTGAATGAAGGGTCACTGGGGTCAAGAAGGGTCGCCCATGAGAAGGGAGCTGGCACAGAGCATACCAGCCACCTTCCTGCTGACCAGGTCGCCAGTGTTGGGCCAAGACAGCTAAAAGGTATTTTTAAAATAGCAGTAAATCCTAAGTAAATGCTTTTCACTTGCAACCCCTCTGCTGTTTGGCCATCGCTGCTGGGCACTGGGGTCCTCTGGTTGGTGCAGTCACACCAGGTCATGAGCCCATGGCATGATGCTCAGGGTCCCATGCTGCTGACAATGCGGGGCTGGGGGTCGAGGCTCCCCTGGTACACGACGCCAGTGACAGAGCTCTGTATCGTGCAGACAAGATGCCAGAGTGGCCTTCTGGACCTGCTTCTAGAAACACTTGGGCCTGTGGCCATCTGGGTGACAATCTAACTCCTCATGCAGTGACCTGTGGGGCAGCAGCATTGGGCAGCAGCGCTCAGATGGGCACAGTTACTCTGGATGCTTTATGTGCCAGGTAACAGTAAAAACAGAAAGACACGTTTTATAAAAACAACTCTGAAAGCCCAGTCATCACATCTGTGGCCTCCCCCTCTTCTACTCCATATTAATTTTTAGGAATAAAACAAGTGCTCTTCCCAAAAAAAGTCCTAAGGATTCTTCTCCTGGACACCTCCCAACCCAGGGCCATCCCTAGAGTCGTGCAGCTTGTCCTGGGGGGACAGGGACAGGCACCTGGGCCACAGAGGAGTCACCATGGCCATCCCAGCAGGCACAAAGCCTTGCAGTCATTCCTGACGACACATTTACTGGACATTCTCAACCACAGCACAGGACAGGGAGTTTGCTTTATCTTTGCTTTTTGAGACATTTTTAATTGTGAGTTGAAAGTTTACAAAGCAGAGTGGTTTTCCACTCAACTATTCATATGCATTTTGTTTTTTAACATTAATTCCAACCCTACAATAGAAGCATCACACTTTTCACATTTCAGATGATTCTCATTCATCTTTTTATTCTTTCTGCCTTGTGGGCTTTATCCTCGAGCAAATGCTGCTCTTGGACCTTGCTGTTATCATCAAGTTGACTACAACACGTACCAGCCGCTGGACAGCAGATGTCAACCCAGCCCAGTGCTGCACCGTGCTCTCCACGTCCACCCCTCTAGTCCTGTTACGGTCACTGTACCCATTTACCATCCTCTCCACATCCACCCCTCTAGTCCTGTTATGGTCACTGTACCGGCTTATCTCCCTGAAAGTCTCCTCCGCTGGCCTTCTGCCCTTCCCAGCATGACGTCCTTTTCCAAGGACTGGCCCTACTCACAGGCCCGGAGCAGCCAGCTGACATCCACCGCTCTTGCGTCTGAAGAGCATGCTGCCTGCAACCCCTCCACACTGGCTTGCCCTCCTGGCGGTCCGCGGCACACTCGGGACTCCTCACC